ATTTTCATCCAAAACTTCATTGACAGGCCTTTTCCATAGGCTCTGGTTCCAAAACCAGGCCAAAAGAAGGCTATCTCAATGTGATCCTATGCATACCTCCCCACCCTCTGTCCCCTCAAACTTGCCCTTCCTATCTCTTCCTTGCATTAGCACATTTCTCCAACTACTCAGTGAGATCAGGATCTTGTCCAGGTTTGTATGAGTAACTTTTGCTGGTTTTGATCCACTGTACGTATAAAAATTGGATTAGTTTACTCTAATGAGTAACTAAGTTCTTCAACTCCTGTTCTGAAGGCTCCTTTTTTACTAAATATAGTTACTAAATTTCCATATACTTTGATGACAAAGGATGGCCCAATAGAAAAAAATTCTAATCTCTAAAGGTTAATGACACTTTTGAAATGAATGTTTTTTGACAGACAGACTCCAAGGGTCAGATCCTGTCACCAGAAAGTCCACTGCAGGGTATCGTTAGACTGAAACACACCCTTAGAGCAAGTTATCTCAAGTTATGGATGCTAGATTAAATCTCATTTAAAGATATTTAGAACCATTGTCTTGAAATGCTGACTCCTAATGCTGCATAAAGGAAAAACTTTGCCAAAAGCATTGGTGTCTACTAAAACATTACAAATATATTTAATTAATGAAAGGCATGTCACTAATGACAGCAGCTTGCACAGATATGCCTGAGGACACCTTAAACTAATGTGGACACTGCTAGCAGAGCAATCATAACACGATACTTACCATGGCTCTGTACTAGCTCCAGTTCTTGGGACAGCTTTGCTAATTTGTACTGAACTCTACTGCTATAACCATCAACTGGCAACTCTGAAGAAAGAAACATCTTGTGTGCATTAAGCTATTTTTAGTTTTCAGATGTAAGATTGCATTATGCATGCATCATAAGGATAAATTTACACTGCAATAAAAACCATCAGCCATTCAATTCCTTGATGCCTACAGTTAAATTTGTTTCCAGCAGTATTTATTCACTTGTTGGTAATGACTCATCTTCCCCAAAGTTTCTGCGCTCTCAGAAAAGCATTTGGTTCCCAAACAGCCCCACTCTACCCCCTCGATGATTCTATAATGTAGCTTGCTTACACATCTATAACCACGTTAAGGGTATAAGCAAAAGTTCAGTTTTGAAAATACTGGCCGCTAGCTTTTGCATTTGACACTGACTACATTAAATATAACCTGTGTTTATCTTCAACTTTAAAAAGAAATCAAAGCAGCACAGAAACTGTATTTTTAACATAATTTTTTTTTCTTGAGTGAAGGTGGACACTCCAAGATGAAAACTAGAACTCCATTATTGCTGTAAGGTTGACAGTTACACAGATCTTAGATGAGACAGCACAATAACACTACTACAGTCTTCAAGCCTGAAACCTTGTTCTAGGGGACAGTCACAACAATGAGATAGTACGGAGCAGTGGAGTAGATTGGCAGTGGACAAATCCTGCTTCTCTAATTAACATGATATCACCTTGCAGGCATACTATACGAGATTACAGTTCCTGCTCCCAGTGCATGAAACGTATTCATTCTCTCTCCTTTTTGCTACTACAAACATTAAAAACAAAATAAACATTTTTCATCCTCTTACTTAATGGTCAAATTTTCAGCAGTGACTCTTCTCCACTGCAGGAACTTTGCTTGCTGCTTCAACTAATGTCAAAACAACATAGAGCTATACAGCAATAGGTGAATTTGATCTTTTTTTGAACATAGTGGGGATTGGAACAGGAACACCCTGACTGCCTTTTCCAAAATGCTGATCAAAAGGAAAAAACAGAACCCCAGAAATCAAGGACTCTTACACATTTAAAAACTAAGTGTTCTCTGGGGTTCAATCATAAACAAATTTAGAGTGTGCATATGAACGTAGAATGCAGCAAAAAATGCTGAAAAGCCTTTAAGATTAAGCAATGCAGCCACCCTCTCACACGAAGCATAACTATCTCTAGTCCCTAAACAGAGGTTTAGAAAAGAAGGGAGAAGAAAGGTTAAATTTTTGCAGTGCTTCAGCAAAACCCTTCCTCTCATGAGTGCAGACCCAACCAATGTCATCTCTGCTGCTCACCCTGATGACCACAAGGCTTGAGCTTCAAGAACTGTTTACTTAAGAGTATTTACCAAAACCGTTCTTTACAGCTGTCATTACTAGTAGAGTACTCACATTGGATTTATAGCAGAATCTAGCTTTAATTTTTCTCAGGTAAACAGGCCTGAAGGCTTCTGCTAAAGGCTGGAGTAGATGCATGATAAGTATCCAATGAATTCTTAATCATCAGTAAACTACACTTAGACACTACATTTAAGTTCTGGTTATTTTGATGCAACAAGAGAATAAAAATACAATTCAATTTTAATAATTCTCAATCTCTTAAATGGCTAAGTGGATTTTACTCCAACTGCTAAGACTGGACTGCAAGCAGAAACAAAAACATTAATAATTTTGGTCTAATAAACACCCAGAATGATGAAAGAGTCATTAACAGCAGAAAGACCTAACTACTTTGCAAAGAAGGTACAGTTTTAACTTCAGATTGCTGAAATTTTCTAAGGTTCCAGTGTTTCAGAAGCTTTTCTATTCCTAATAAATAAGTTAAATGCTCCTGAACAAATAACTGTTCATCAAAATGAAGTCCGATTTTAGAATGAAACTGAATTAGTTATAGAAAAACTCACAAGAGTAAGATCAAAGGCATTAAGATTTATAATTTTAGCTGTGGGGAAGAAAATTCAAGATCTTTTTACATAAGGTTTGGCCCTCAAAAAAGGTTCTGGTGATCCTCCCCCTCCCCTACATGCAAGAAATTCTGTGTAGAGTATGAGACTCAGGATGGAACTCCAACCAAACATTCTCACAGGGGTTTTGGTTTTGTGGGTTTTTTTTGTTTGTTTGGGTTTGTTTTGTTTTGTTTATTTTTTTTTTAAAGTGAAAATTTTGCAGATTGTCCAGATCTGAAACAGGCATGGTCACTCTTGGCAATAAAGCTAACTCAATTATTCCTGATTTTCACCCATTTGAAGCATGTTTTTCAAAACTAGCAATGCATGAAAAAGCCAGAGTCAGAATATTCAAATTATGGAAAATGACTGCACAATCTGGCGATCAGTTATGTTCATACAAAAAGCTTCATTCACTGAAGTATAATCATACCACCACCACATGTAAATTCTTTGCTTGGCAGCATCTGGAAACAACAGTAGCCAACTCCTTAGAACATTATTTTATCCCTTGAGGTCAGTTGCTGTTAGAAGTAAAATATGTTTGCACAGTTTTTTTGCCCAACACTTCATTATTCTGTTATTAATAGTTGTTTACGCAAGCAATATTTGCCCTTTTTTTTTTTTTTTTTTTTAGAGTGCAGTGATATCAAAGCCAATGCTTCCCACTATAGAAAGCTGTAGGATTCTTCTTGTTTCAGTCTCTGATCAATGCATTCTCTCTAAAAGTTTTCTTCCACATAAACCATGCTGGAGAATGATGTCTGAGTGTTTAAGGTTCACAATATCAGAGACCACACCACTACATAAACTCCTTAATAAATGTCAAGAGTGAGATACAGGAGTTCTTTAGCTACAGCCAGAAACCATCGATCTTGATATGAGACTACAATTATTCAGTTATCGTAAGTAAACATTTTTACGATGTCATAATATCAGTAAATATTCATTTGGGAGTACATTACTAATCAACAGAAATGATGAAACATTATGTGCACACTTATCTAGGAAAGATGTATTTTTCATCAGAAAAATATTTCTAAGGACTTTTAGCATACAAACGCTTCTTCAGAGAAACTTCCAATTTCTTCTCTGGAAAAGAAGAAATTTCACATAGGAAGGAGTTTGAATGGTTTCTGATCATAGACTAACTGCTGTTGGTTACATTTTGGTACCAAGAAGTTCACCAGAGAGAAAGAGGAATCAGCAACAGGAACAAGAAACTCAAGTCTCCTCACTATCAAGCAGTAAATCTAAGTAAGATAAAAATAATCTAAAAAAGAAAGGGACACTTTTTTTCTTAAATACAATACACAATTAAGTCACAGGACTCACTACCACAGAAATCTGTAGAGGGCTAAAAACCAGCAAGAGAAATTCAATCAAGGAACTCGATGTGTTAAGAGAATAAGCAGAGTTGTGGCTACTGACCATCATGGTCTGGGTAGTTTCCATCCTGGACAGCCTTTAAAATAGGTTATAGGGAACATATACTAAAGAAATATCACATACATACTGTTTATTGTGCTAATCCCCATGGCACCTGCTACAACCGCACCAAGACTAGACTACAAGGCCAACGGACCTTAGTTACCACAAAAACGTTTCATGTCCCCCAATCCTCTGCCGCACACACTAGAATAATAGTTATTTCGGGTCAAACTTGTCTTCTACATACAGAGGCTGCAGTCACATAGGTTTGGAAGATACAATCCTTTGTCTTTTAAACAGCCTTTTATGAAGATGTTCTTGGATTTGTATTGAAGATTTCAGGAGATGCACTTGAGAACCTGTTCTCAAAGCAGAAAGTTTGAGAAGAGACAGTTGCATGGCTTTGCAAATGCATTTCAGGGGAAGAGCAAGAACAGCAATCAGTGCAACATGAGGAATTGTTTTTCAAGTTACAACCCATACGTACCACCTCAACATGAATATGCACTTGCAGTCTAGTTTTACGAAGCACGAAAGAAGAGATTTGATCATCCTTTCCAGTAACAATTATATATGTTACAATTTTAAAATATTGCTTTTCAGTAACGTGACAAAAGTCACATCAATACCAAATCCATATGTGCTGTGGAGGAAAACAGACTGCTTCTATTTTGAAGAATACCTTGTATAAACTCCACTTGCTATTAGCTTTCTAACCTGGAAACATAGAACCTAGTAAGTAGATCATTCCATCACATATGTATTCATCAATATTTGCAGATTCTCAGTATATCCCAGGATTTGTACTTGAACTCTGAACTTACAAATGCTGAAGGCAAGAAAAGGACTCCAAGTTCATAAGAACGGATCATCAGTTGGGTGCCATTTTTCTCCAGAGCTCCCCAAGCTGCTTTAGATAGATTAGCACTGCAAAAAGAAACAAAGCATTTCAGTGAGGCATAACCTTCACAGTAGAAAATGCTTAAATGCCACAGCTGTGGCACTTCTAGCAGAAGAACTTCAATCAGAACAGTCTTTTTATGAAAAGTGATTTGGGTGTTAGTCCGTATTGCTATTTTTACAGCACAGTGGGAGCAGCAGAGACAATACATAGAAGGTATTCAAACAACACATGGATAATTATACAAGCCTACTTGTGTCATACAGATTTACAAGACAAATTTAGCCTTTTGAATCTTCTCTGCACATTTCAGAAGGGAACTTGGTATTGTTAAATACCTCTGATTTGATGACTTAGGAAGATTAAACGCTAGCTCAATTATGACTAGTTACATTATAATACATTTAGCACAGAGCATTTTTACAAGTCTTAAACAGAATCTTTTGCTCCTGGCATTTTGTTCTTTGACATATTTATGAAAACAAGAATTTATCGAAGAAGTATTTTTTTTGATGTGCTATTCAGCACCATGTTGTAGTTAATCCTTCATCAGTATCTGCTATGAAGCAGGTCACGTTGGGAGTCAAAAAATACATACAATTGTTAAAAACCTACTCCTACAGCAAAATACAAAGCTTAAAACATTACATTTTAACTGACCGACATACTGGATGGTTTTTGATAGTAGAAAACACTGGAATAGAAGAAACATGAGCAAAAAATAAAAGCAACCATGAATTTCTGTATTAGATAGACACAGCATCACATTTGAACGACTTCAATCCTCTAAAAATCACCTTAATTGCTATTACTATTGCAGACAGTCGTGACAAGTGATCAAATTTAAAGAGCTGAAATGTGAAGAGGAAAAAAGATGAAAGTAACTGAGCATTTAAGAGTAAGGATACAAAGATCATACTCTGTAGTATATAGGGTTGCACAAAGATCCATATTTTTCATTCACAGTAAGACAGTAGCTCCCCATGTCAAGAAATTTCTTGCTCCCTCTTTTGGCTTCTTTAAAAACCAAACAATAGAAATACAAAGCTAGACTTCAAACTAGACTGAACAACTCAATCTGACAAAAGGTCAGATCCCAAATATTAGGCATCTACATGTTTTGTAACGATAAGGCAGTGCAGGATAAACTTCAGCTTAACCCATATCTATTTCGTACAAACCGGCACCATGTCTTAAACAAACTTAACCCAAGCAGTTGATGCTGAACCCCGAAACTGGCAATTACAGCTCAGACAAGATTTTGGTTCAATTGTCAACAGTTCCTGACATAACTTCAGCCCGCAGCCCCAAAAGGGGCAATGCAGTGAAGAAACATTAAATATGGACAAAAATTCCTATCACTACTTATTGTATTATGAGGATTATGGCAGTAACTCACCTGGACCTGCAACTGACCAGGACTTCATACATGACTGAGTGAGAGGTGCGTGGTTAGCTGCTTACCTTGTAACTAAGAACCATGCAATTTTCTGGAAGTCAGGAGAGGGTCTCATGTATGTCTTAATGTGAGGCATAGCATGACTTCGACCTGAGACTTCTGCTGACCATTTGCTAGAGAAAGAAAAGGAATTATTTTCAAATACAGATTTATTTTTAGGTCTAAAAAACCCTCACTACACTATTGTGCTATATTTTCAGTAATACTACTCTATACTTGTGACATTTAACACTTGTTTTCCCCTACAGAAAGGCTGAAAATACTTAATTTAACTGAATATTTAATCCTGAAATCCAATCTCATTAGTAAAAAGGAGGGCAGGATTTTTTCCCTTTACAAACAAGCGAGACAGATATTCTCCTCAGTATATCAGGCTCTCCTAACAAGTTCTTCCATTCCTTCACTCCAGCTAGCACTCGAGATACTAAGTCCAAACTTCCAGACAATATTTCTTCCTTGAAGCCTACCAATGGTCATGCCTTTAAGCAAACAAGCTTGGCACCAAATCAAACCTTGCAAAGCTCCCCAAGCTTATTACAATTCATTATGCAAGAAGTAGAAGCAGGGAGCAACTGATAGGTTGTTAACATTACCTTTCCTCTTCCCTTTTCTGTGCCCCTAAGCCACTGCGAAATTTGATGGCTTGAGAGTAGAGATCATATCTATGTGTATATATAAAAACTAGTTTAAAACAACAAGCCATTACTGGGGTAATTTGGCATCAATGTTACAGAACTAAACTGTAAGCAAGCAGTAAATACATATACATGACAATGTATGTAACCATGGTATTTAGAAGCACTTTTCACCCACAGTTATTAGTCCTCACTCAAAATCAGGAAGAATGCTTCCAAATACACCTTCTTCCAACCAGAGACTTTGCTTTCCTGACATCAGAATATAATAGGTTCTGGTTTTGGTTGTCACAAACTTGCTTCCCTAATTTAGCATTCTCTTCTAAAAGACAAATAAAGAATTCATCAGCTCCAAAAAAAAAAAAAATCTTAAGTGAAATGTGTTCACTTAAAAGCCTAAGAAAACTGAAGAGGAAGGGCTGGAATTCTTTACCTAAGTTGAATTCAGGACTAACTTTCACATGAGTGAAGCCAAGAGGCTTTGCAGTTCAGGGGTCAAGACCTACTTGCTTTAACAATCCTATCCTCCAACGAAGGAACCAAAAATGTTTCTGAGAACTGGTCCTGTATTCCTGAAGGGCAAGAGCTGAAACAATGTATGCATGTTTGGAGCAAGCAAGAAATCTTTGTATTTTCATGTGAGCCACACTGAAGTCTGTCTCTGAAGAACAGAGTAAGATACATATGATACAGGAACAGCTAACTAAACTCATGTTCCCCTACAGAACTCTACACTTTCCATACATACAGAATGTAATGCTATACCGTAAGTCAACAATTCTTGTTAATAGCTTTTATCTCACAACTGACAGTTGAGGCAAACATTACCTTTAAGTTTAAAGCACAAAAATAATTAGGTAACTCCAGTAACATTGTAGATCAAAACCAGCAAAAATAGTAGAACTGGGAATTGAACACAGATTTTCTTTAGATCTATCTTGCTGCCTTAGTCAAGAACAAACCTCTCCCCCTACTATTAACTGCAATAATTTTGAGAGACTATCTCAGTCCACTGCCTTTTTTCCTTCTTATCATCTTTGACAGACAGAATTAAGTACTGTGTTTTAGCAAGAGTATTGCTGCTTCTCTTCTATTTACTAACCACAGTAATCTAATTGCAGTTAGTTTCAATCACAAGTGATTGAAACTGGTATTCTGGAAAGTTAAAACCAGGAAGGGGAGCATATATTTTGGCCATATTTTCTTCAGTAGGACAGCACAAATATGTAAGGACAAAAGGAGGAAAGAAAGTGATTATGTTCTCTGATCACGTTCGGGGTTGGTTGGTTTGTTTTTGTGGTTGTTTTTTAGTAATTACCTCATCGAAAAACTTAGATGCTTTCAGTAAAGTGTTATTAGCAAAGAAGTATTTAAGAAATATTTTCTCTTCAGCTCATCTCCAGACTGCATAATGGAATGATTTGCAAAAAGAACTGGAAGGGGTTTCAGATGGGAACAATATCTCTTAACCTATTCTTAATACAGTTAAATTTCAACTTCACCATGGAACTTTCCCGGCATATTTTAGGAAAAAAAAAACCCAAAACAGATTACAAAAAGCCTAAAGTAAATGCAAGAACAGCTGCTTTGTACAGCAAGGATGACAGTGTATGTCAAAAACAATTTCAGGCTACCTCTAGTCAAATTGGCTTAACACATTTTAAGCTGTAAACTTTTCATCAGAATGCAGCTGGCAGAGGACATACACAGGACCGATCTCATGGCACAGTAAACTTCAGGTATATTCAGTCTCAGAGATAAATACAGCAAGTTAAACGAAACTGGTTTTGAGACATTTTATGGAGCAAATCCACAGCTTGAAGTAGTTATTTTTTTGACAGTTAGAGGTCCTGGTACCATGTAAGTTAAAAGCTCAAATGTGGCGTGATGACGAAGAGTTACCTGAGCAGGTATCACCAGAATTTGAACAATAAAACACGAAAACCTTTTTGCTAGGGTTTTTTTTTTTTTTTTTCCATTGTTGTACCCTCCCAGGACTAGAACTGTTTGTCACCAATACTGATTTTAGACCACTAATCCTGACATTTTTACCAGTGCCTTGCTGCTAATTCCTCCCTCCCAGTCTTTTGTGGCATTTCAGTCAGCAGCTTTTCTTTTTGATTACACAGCCTCTAGTGTGATGGTTAGGTGCACTGAATTAAAGAGGTAGCCTACTTTCCAACTCTTAAAACACAACAGCTTTTGCCCCTCCCATCCCTCCATTTCTCCAATGGCTGTTTTTGAGTTTCACATAATT